TTAATTTGTAGCCTATGCATTTTTTACATTTTAAATATATATATATATTTATTTTATCCAGTGGCAATTTTTATTTTATTTCATCCACACACATCTCATATGTGATACATATTTGAGATCTAAAGAGGAGATGATTAAATATAACAGTCTGGATATCTGGGTATCTCTTTTATGTTGAACTGAGGTTTAAAGTTTATCTTGAAGTGGTTGTGGTCTGGTATTAGTTGGATGAGTTACATTCATATCAGCATAAAGCACCTCTTTATTGGGCATAAATTTCATCATGGGGTTTCAGCACTTTGTTCATTATTGTTCTTTCTCTGTTTGATCTGTGGGAAACTCCAGCTGCTGCTATCACACACACACACACACACACACACACACACACACACACACACACAGACAGATAAATGTATACAGTTGACACTTCAGGGTTCAGAGTAACTAGGTGCACACCAACTCGTGTTGGTCTTTATAACGGTGCTTAGTTCTTGTTTTTGTTTTTTCTCTTTTTGCTGAGCAGGTGAAACACACTGTAAAATAAATGGTGGATTACTCTGATAACAGCTGTTCTTGCAATGTTGCGCGCGAGTTAAATATGATGTCTGTAGACTCAAGGGGACTTAATCATAAAACACAAGCAGAAGATATCTCTGTGTAAATCATAAGTAAAGTCATTTGTACACAAATTGTACCAAGGGGTTTATCCTTAATTGACAAAATTCTCATTTGGGGTTCTCAAAAATTAATTTTTTGGATCCATTAGCTGTTTGCATATGATGTGTTTTAGCATCTGATAGTTCTCTTGTGTATTCAGTGTAATGGTGGTGTAAGCAAAGCAATGAAAGTTCCCCTGGTGTTTACAAAATGTTACAGAGCTAATGAAACACAGGAGGACATTAGAGATAGAGTAAACATGTCTTTTCAAATGGAGTGTGTGTTTGTGTACGGGTGTGGAGGGCCGAGGAAAGAATGTGTGTGTGTGTGTGTGTGTGTGTGCGCGCTGGCACTGATGGCCTCTGTGGGAAGGCGAGCCAGCATGGAATAGAGGAGGACGTCAGGGGGAGATTTTAATTAAAGTATGAAATGAGAGGTCACGCGCTCTGACCACTCACTACACACACAAGGACATGCTATCTCTTTCTTACTTTCTCCATTCCTCTCTCTCTCATACACACTCTAGCAGTCTCCTCCACTCTCTCTCAGCTTGATGAGTTTTCCATGAAAGGGTTTTTCATTAATTCCACCTCAGGGAGTCTCTCTGTTCCGGCTCCCTCTGAAGCACATGGAAATCTAAAGTGTGTGTGCGTGTTTCTGTTTGTATGTGGCCACCATGATGTTTTGACTCGGTCTGATTATTAACACACTGTTCTGGCTGTTTGATCATGAAGTTGCATACACAGACACACATGGTTGATGGTCTTGTTGATGAGAGAGGATGATGGACAGGACAGAAATGGTTCGTTAGTTTCCTGTGATTGCTTCATAATGGGACATTTTAAACATTGGATTACAGGAGGTTTAGGATAATTTAATGCTGAAAAACACCTGGACACGGAATAACAGGAAGTGCTAGAAACACTATGAGCTTCAGTGTATTCATTAGAATGCTGCTGTTCTTTTTCTTTATATGTAAGGCTTTTAACCCCCATAGGCTCATTGGTAAAAATGTGCCTCTACCTACATTTTTGCTAAACTACAAAAACATACCTACATGTGTACATGCATTTCATTGCAGTTTCGTGCTGAAATGAACACACAGATTATCAGTTAATAAAGATTTATTTTCTTGCACAATACTGTTATGACCTCAAAACAATTTTTTTAATAGTGCTTGATTAAACTAATATATTTGACGTTTACGTCACATTACCATCTCCATATGCTTGGCTTTTCTGATGTAGTAAACTTGCTCGGTAGCTCACCTGGTACAGCATTGCGATTGTGATGTGTAACGCAAGTCCTGTGAAACACGAATCACGATAAAAGAGCTCAGACTTGTAGAAGCAAACTAAAATGGCATGGTTGATTTGACAAATGTTTTTTAATCTCATGTTTGCTTTTGTTAACACTCACGGTTGGATTTAGGATAGGGTTTAATGTGATTTTTCAAACTGTTTGAATCTGTTATTTGAGAATAAAACCTTATAAAATATATTGTGCTTACACATTTGTGAATAAAAACTAACATATTAAAGTTTACTACACTCTTAAAAATAAAGGTGCTTCAAACAGTTCTTCAAGCGATGCCATAGAAGAACCATTTTTAGTTCCACAAAGAAGCATTCAGTCAAAGGTTCTTTAAAGAACCATCTCTTTCTTACCTTTTTGTAATCTGAAGAACCTTCTTTCGCCACAAAGAACCTTTTGTGAAGCAGAAAGGTTCTTCAGATGTTAAAGGTTCTTTATGGAACCATTTAGACAAAAAGTTTCTTCTATGGCATCGTGAAGCACCTTTATTTTTAAGAGTGTAGTGGAGTGATAACATGGTCCAAACAACAGTCTCATCGTGACAATTCGTAATGTTTACATTTTGGTGATAAATTGTCACCTTGGAATTGTAAGGTTTTATCTGCCATTTTTGTCAAAATTTAGTTATTTACATATTCTTATTCTGTGACAACACATTATGTGATGTTTTTTTTTTTTTAAGTTGTGTACATTTTGGGACTGATGTATTAAAGAGATTTGTTGCCCATATCCCATATCACTATATGGAATGCAAAAACTTTGAAGCTCAATATCTCGAAACAATAGAATGCAAATAGAACCTAGGTGATGAAATTAGTTTGATTTCTTATATGCTTTCGTTTGACTTGATCATGCACCATTAAGATGTAGGTTTAAGGGTGAAGCTTCATGCTTACTTTATTAATTACAAATCATGAATCACATTGCATGAATTTGTGCAAAATTGCAACTTTGTAAAAAAAAATGTTTTTATTTTAAGAGTGTAGTGGAGTGATAACATGGTCCAAACAACAGTCTCATCATGACAATTCGTAATGTTTACATTTTGGTGATAAATTGTCACCTTGGAATTATAAGGTTTTATCTGCCATTTTTGTCAAAATTTAGTTATTTACATATTCTTATTCTGTGACAACACATTATGTGATGTTTTTTTTTTTTTAAGTTGTGTACATTTTGGGACTGATGTATTAAAGAGATTTGTTGCCCATATCCCATATCACTATATGGAATGCAAAAACTTTGAAGCTCAATATCTCGAAACAATAGAATGCAAATAGAACCTAGGTGATGAAATTAGTTTGATTTCTTATATGCTTTCGTTTGACTTGATCATGCACCATTAAGATGTAGGTTTAAGGGTGAAGCTTCATGCTTACTTTATTAATTACAAATCATGAATCACATTGCATGAATTTGTGCAAAATTGCAACTTTGTAAAAAAAAATGTTTTTAATGTTTTCTCATGAGATCAGGTTAGGTCTAAAGAGTCCTCATGAAACAAACTCAGATTTGGGTTTCTGCATCAGTTCAGCATCAGCAAGTAAGCGTGGAGTAGGAAAAAGGAAAAGCCAGAATGTTATTTACGTTGCTAGAATGTTACAGGAAGTTCTTCCGCAACAGACAGCCAACTATAAACTGTCTCAGTGTTTACCTCATTAAATATTCATGCTTTTAATGAGGTAACCACTGGTATTCAGTGGTTCAATACTCAACATGTGAGAGTTAAAAGATGTTGATGTTGAAGATTTGATTCAATCAGAGCAGATTCACGCAGTGACCTTTCCATTGCTGGACAAGCAAGTATTGAAAAGAAGATGTTTGCTTGTGGCATGCTGTATTTCTCCGCTGATGTTATAAAACTCATAGATATGCAAATGAGAACATTAATCTAGGGATTTCAAATCGACAGTGTGAAATCTCATGGTTACCCCCAGGATTAATTACTAACCCATGTTAATGTATTAACAGTGTGTTAACAATTAGTATGAAAAGCGCACTTATGTTGTATTCGTTTGGCCTCTAGAAACACCTGCCAAAC